GGGGTTAGGTGGTAAAATTCTTCCAATAAATCTATAAAAAAAAAATTCAGCTGTGAACACATGGTAAGCACAAACAGGAAAGAGTAAGCTGGCAATGTGCCATTGGACTGGTGAGAAGAGGGTGAAGTGAATGTATACCCAGTTTTTTGGGGTTCACCCAGAAATCTGGGGCAAACACACCAGCCCACCTGTGAGAGGGGCCTGAGATTTGTCATGCCCTTGAGTGGCTTAACAATCTTTTTGAGCTCATTTATTTCTATGGTCCTTGAAATAAGGAACTACAGGAAGCTGGGTTTGCTCAGCATTCGGGATACTTTCCTTCCCGTGGTTTCAGGCCAGGAACTGTCAGTCTCGACTCGTCTTACACCAGCGTAGGAGCCCCTCTGACGTCTCCGGGCTGCTCACCCCACCACCAGCACCACTTCCTGTCATCAGAGCTGTGACTTCCCCTCTTCCTGCCAGGACTGTGGTTTGCAGACGCTGAGCTGAATGCTTCTTGGACCCACAGCCTCTCTCATCCAGTTCCAGGTAAAGATGAGGTGGCCTGATGTTCCCAGAGGGGAGCAAGTCCAGCCCTGACGCCTGGGCACACAGATGGCATCTGGCTCAGTGTCTTGGCCCTCCGGGTTCGGGGCTGGTCTTGCCCCAAATCACTCCACCCCAAAACATTCTCCACTGCTATCCCTGGAACCTCACCTAAGCCTCAGTTTTCTCATCTACAAAATGGGAGTTATAAATCTAGTCCTACTGCTTCCCTTGTAAACATCAAATTTTAAAAATGATAAAAAGAATTTTATAAAAAATAAAGCACTACATAATAATTTTTTTTAGCACACAGTAACATGTTTATTGTATAAAGCACAGATAAAAAAGGGGGGAATTAAATAAAAATGGGGCTGGGAGTCACATGCTTTTTAGGAACCAAAACAAAGTAAATAGATTTCTTTACTGCAGGAGGCCCCAGTGGCTTAGTTATGCTAATATGCAGTTGACACCCTGTGTGGGAGAAAATCTGCATATATCTTTTGACTCTCCAAGAATTTAACTAATAGCCTACTGTTGACTGGAAGCCTTACCAACAATATAAATAGTCAATTAACATATATTTTGTCTATGTATTACATACTGTATTCTTACAATAATATAATCTAGAGAAAAGAAAAAAATGTTTTTTCAAATTGTCACAAATCTCCAAAAAAGTTACCAGTATGTTTATTGAAAAAAAAATCCACATTTGAGTGGACCTGCACAGTTCAAACATGTGTTGTTTAAGGGTCAAGTGTATATTGTAAATTTCCCAGAGGGACATAAAACAGGCAGTGTTTCTCAATTGATGTGAACCTGTCTGCTTTTCACAAACCTCCAGCACAGTGTGGGAAACCCTGCACTGGGTGAGATTATTGTGACTCACAGCCAGCCCTGTGCAGATCTCTTCCCTGGAAGTGTGGACAGCCACGTGCCCTGCCCTGGAGGAGGTGCCAGGGGCGGTGCCTGGAGGAGTCTCATGAGTTCCTTAGACTCACTAGTTTCCCTGGTTCTCCGACAGGTCTTTCCTGTGCATCGCGAGGCTCTGTCAGTACCAGCTCTGACTTAAGCTTGGGTGGCCAGGGGATAGGGGAGGGGGCTTTCCCTGGGCTTCTCAGCTGCCCCGTCTTGCCCCTCTCCTGCTGAGGCAGCTGCCAGGGGGAGGTGGCCAGGACATTGGCATCACTGAGTCACAGTTAATTCTGGGCCTGCAAGACCAGGCTCAGAGCTCTGTTCTCTGCCAGGACCCATTGAAAAAAACCTTCTGTCTCTCATGGACACTGAGAAGTGACTGGTGGTTACCATCGGGGAGGGTTTGGGGTGGATGGGTGAGGAGAGTGAGGGGGATAAAACAGCACAAAAATTCCCAATCATATAAGTTGGGTACAGCATGGAGGATATAGTCAGTGATTCTGTAACTTCTTCCTGTGTTGACAGATAGCAACTGCTCTAGTGTGGGTGAGGATTTAATAATATGGATAACTGGTGAACCACTGTGTTGTGTACTTGAAAACAGTATAAGAAAAAAATAAATAAAGGGAACAAAAATGGTCTGTTTGCTGCTCTCAGCACATAGGCAGGGACTCGTTGGACCTCAGACATGCAGGAAAGACACCCTTTTTCTTTTCTTCCTTCTTTACTCCTAAGATTGCCAAGAACTTGAATTTGTAAAAAAAAAAAAAAATACCTTTTTGAATTACAAATTAAATAATACTCATTGTAAAAATTTCTAGTAACACAAATATGTTTAATGTTAAGAAGGAAAGTTTCCCTCCTTCACCCACATCCTTCCGTACCCAAGTGTATAGTGCACATCAATGTAGGTTTTTCTGTTTGCACATATTAATAATTGATAAATAGATTTGCGTGTTTGGTCAGATGCACTCCAGCTTCCCAGTTTCACTCAGCAATATACCATGGACAACCTACCACTTCAGTGCATAAATGCGAACTATCTTTCTCTTATTTTTTTATAGTCAAATTTATGGAGGGGAAATTTACATAAAATAAGACTCATCCTTTTTAAGAGTACAGTGTAATGAGTTTTGACAACATAGTCAAACAAGCACTCCAATCAAGATAAAGAAACTCCCATCACCACCAAGAGTTCCCTCTGCAGCCCACTCCCTTCTGGGGCCTCTAACCCCTGGCAGCACTGATGTATTCTCTGTCCTTCTGCCATACAAATGGAGTTACACAGCATGTAGCCTTTTGTGGTGGCCTTGTTTCGCTAGCTTGTTACCTTTTACTGCTGTGTAGTATTGCACTGTACATGATTTGGTGATGTATTCACCAGTCGATCCCATCTGGGTTGTTTCTAGTTTTTGGCTATTACAAATAAAGTGGCTATGAACATTCATGTACACGTTTCAATTCTCTTGGATAATACCAAGGAGTAGAATTGTTATGTAGCACAGTATTTAACTTTATAAGAAACTGCCATCTCCAGAATTGTCTTTCAAAGTGGCTGCTATTCCACTTCTGCATTCCTACAATGTAGAGCTCCTACAATGAGAGCTCTAGTTGTTCCATATCCTCACTGACACTTGGAATTGTCAATCCTTTTAATTTTAGCCATTCTGGTAGTATGTAGTGGGATTTCATTATGGTTTTAATTTGCATTTTCCTAATGACTAATGAGGTAGAGTATCTTTTCATGTGCTTATTTGCCATTCATTTATCTTCTTTGGTGGAGTATGTATTCATACCTTTTGCCCATTTCTTTTAATTGGGTTGTTTGTTTCATTATTATTGAGTTGCAGAAGTTGTTTATATATTCTGAATATGTGTCCCTTATCATATGTGTGTTTTGCAAATATTTTCTCCCAATCTTTGGCTTTTCTTTTCAATTTGACATTGTCTTTTGAAAAGGAGAATTTAAAAATTTTTGATGAAGTCCAACTTAACATTTTTTTCTATTATGGTTCATGCTCTTTATGTCCTAATGGAGAATTTGTTTTTTCATAGAAGCAGAAAGTAAAATGATTACGAGGGGTGAGTGAGTGAGAGGAATGAGGAGCTGTTGGCAAAGTGACACAAGTTTCAGTTATGTAGGATGACTGAGTTCTAAGAGAGTAATTCTGAAGTGTTCTCACTAGGATAAAAAGGCTGACTATATAAGGAGATGAAAATGTTGATTAGCTTGACTAATAATCATTTCAAAAAATACATGTATATCAAGACATGTACACCTTATAATATACAACTTTTATTTAAATCTTTTACATTTAAATAAGATTTTTTTTCTCCCACAAGTTTAACCCTTACTTTTAGGTCTATTACCTATTTTGAGCAAATTCTTATGTATGGAGCAAGGTAAGGATTAAGGCTCATTCTTGCTTGTTTTGCATATGGAAAACTAATTCTTCCAGCATCATTCATTGCAAAGGCTACCTAATTCTTTGTAATGACTGTATGTTTCATCAACCAGTGGTCCCATAATTTAGTCAATCAATATCATATTCATGGAAAATTAGGCTATTTTAAACCTGAGGCTGCAATGCACATCCTTTCACCTAAACCAGTGTGCAGGTGAATGAGTATTTCTGTAGAATTACAGGGTCAAATGACATGCACATGTTAAATGTTGATGAATACCAACAGATTGTCCTTCACTATACACTCCTACCTCTTCACTATACACTCCTACCTCTGTGGCTTAAGAGGGAAGGCTGTAATTTTGATTGGCTTTGTTGATGTAAGCCTTTCACAAATATAAAATAATTTCCTTCTGGACAAATCTAATAGCCTGTGTTATTAGATTCTGAAAGATTCACAGCCCTTCCATGAGAGTTTGAAGAAAGATGATAACTTCTGCCTCAGTTGGGATAACCTCATAAGAAATAGACTCATGAAATACATGGTACTGGGAAATGGAAATTTACAAAAGGTTGTTAATAACTATTGGGGGTTTATAAATACCTCAGTGCTGGGGCATTCCCCAAAAGGCAGAGGTTCCTGTAGTAACTTTACTTAAGCAGTGACTTGCCCCCCAGTGGCCTGAATGTGTACATTCAGCCTCCCGTGTGAGTGGTGGCCATCTGTTGCACATTCCCTCTCTTTCACCAGACTGACCAAAGCTCCCTCTTGTACCAGGCTGGTTAGAGCTAACTCTAAATGCCAAAGTGCAAAGAGGTGCTGCAAAAGCAAGTGGCTTACTGTGGCTGGAGCATAAAATTTACACCCCTTTCCTCTTGCATTTTTTTTTCCATCCCACAGTGGTGTGATTTGATCAAATTATTGACATTGTTGGGACCTTTTAGGTGATGAGGACTGTCATGGGATACAAAGAGCTATAGGACAGTCCTCCATCTTCAGGGGTGTGAGCACAGTTTAAACAGCAACACAAGGTGGTTTAGAAGCAGTTCAAAAACAATACCAGCAGGTATCACAGGGAGGACATACTAACATGGTTTGTGCCAGCTGCACGCTCAGTGGCAAAATCTGTGTGCTGAGGGAATCCTCTGAGGTAGACTGCACCTTCTCCAAGCCACCAGAAGCCCACTGCAGGGGCTGTAGGTTTCAAGAGTGAACAAGAGCAAGCCTGAGGATTTCCTGGTTGGGTTTATCGAACAGTCACAGATCCTTCTGTTAAACATTTTGGGAGCAGCTAAGTGGGGGTATCCTGTCTTTAAGCTGTCCTGTTAATTTAGGATGTAATCCAAGGATATTCTTTATGCTTCCAAAAGATTCTCTGTAAACTGTAAGCTGTTGCTGCCTAACACATTATCCTCAAGCCTAGTGGCTTAAAACAACCATTTCACTTGCTCATGAATCTGTAACCTGGGCAGTTCTTCAGCTGGTCACTTCTGTGACTTCCATTACTGGGACAGGTGAATGGGATTAGGTGACCCACACTGGCCTCACTCATGCAGCCAGTGCCTCCTCTGAAACAGCCAGACAGCTAGGGGCTGGCTGCTGCCCCCTCTTTGTTGCCTATCCAACAGTCTGGAGTTTCTTTACGTGGCAGTTGGTTTCAAAAAAAGACAAGGGCAGAAGCTACCTGGCCTGTTAAGCTTGGACGGGGCCCTTGGATGGACGCTTGGAAGCGTCACATCTGCCACGCCCTATTGGTCAAAGCCAGTGTCAAGGCCAGTGCTGATTGGACGAGGCGGGAAGTTGACTCCACCTCCTGTGGGAAGAGCGCGTGTTCAGCCAGTGGAGCAATTTTGGAGGGCGTCTTTGCGCCCAATGGCCCTCTGCTGGCTCCCTGCATTTCATCTTTGCTGACTCTGTACACAAATTTAAGTTCGTGCACATTCATCTCATGCTTCCAACTTAAACCTGTAAGGGGAACATGGTCTCCATTTGGGATGAAGGCATTAGTGCTATTTTTCCAAAGAAAGTTTGATAATTCACTTTCAAATCCATTTACTCTGTTCATTCATTTTGCTTTGGATGGGATAAAAGGTTGCAGTTTCTAGAGAGAGAAATAACACTTTTTTATAGGGAAAGCGGTTTTGGAAAATATTAGCCCTCCCTTTATTGGATGATAAAAAGGAAAATAATCCGAGGTTAACTTTGCATTTGTCACCAGTGGGTAAAAATGTCACAGGCTGACAGCAAAGGGGTTTGTTCCCTTGGAAATTCAGTTTGAGTCAGGAGTGGAGTCTGTGACACTGTAGGACACTCAGTTCTGAGCAGGTAGATACCAGTGGATAGTCAGTTAGGAAATCTATCTGCCCTTGAGGATTGCTTCTGTTGAACATGGGAGACTTGGCTGCCTATTCATCACCACTTCAGTAGCCATTCACAGTCTCCAAAAAAGAAAATCCTGACATCTTAATTTTAATGTGGGTATTTGATCCAGTGCTTGAGATAAATATAACCCTGTGTAGTAAGGAGATGGTCTAATGGGAAATGGTTGGCATTCTTTCTGGGTAAAGGCATGGGGAAAGCAGAGAGAGAGGGAGAAGGAGAGGGAGGGAGAGAGAGAGAGGGAGGGAGAGAGGGAGACAGGCCAAGAGCAGTGGGGAGACAAAAGCAGAGATGAGCGAGGCTCCACAGCAGCCTTGCCTTGAGAACTTGACACTTGCCAGATCCCAGCCAGCATGGTTGTCCTGAATCCAGTGACTTTGGGAATTTATCTTCAGCTTTTCTTCCGCTTTATCGTGTCTCAGCCTACTTTCATCAACAGCGTCCTCCCAATTTCAGCAGGTAAATGATGATCACAGCTTTCCCTTCTTCCCTCTGTCCAGAGCAGGGGGGAAGAAAGATGGTTTCACAACGTGTCCTGGTATTCTCCCATCTACTCTGGGTGGAGGGAGGCTGGGGGAGCTTCCAGCCACCTGAGCTCATCTCAGAAGCCCTCTGTGCCTGCTCCAAACCGCCCCCACCCGCAGCTCCAAGCCACAGACCCTTTTAAAAATGGTTTCTGCCTTTCCCATTTCTCCCCATTTGTTGCATAATCTAATTTTGGTTGGGAATTGTGAGGAGCTTAAAAGAAAAGGAAGTGCCAGTGGGAGAGAAGGGAGTCCAGGCGTCTCTAGAAATGCGTCCCTGACCCCTTCAGAAGGGGGACGTTGACTCAAGGGGGATATTGTGGGGGGAACCTGCCTCTGCCCAGCTCGGTCAGGGTCACGGCCAGTACCATCCCACAGAGGGCGAGGGGGTCCAGATGGTTCTCTGAGGGCCAGGGGCCTCCTTGCAGCCTCAGGACTATGTCTGTCTGCTCTCCTGTTGGGCTTTGCCGGGTGAGAATTTGCTAAGGCAGCTAGGGTTCTGAGGGGGGAGGGCACTTCCTGGGAAGAGGTGGTGGGCTGCTGGCCACGGGCCAGGGTGGCTGCGGGTAGGGCTGGGCGGTTTGGGGAAGGAGACATTTTCTGCCCGTCTGCCTGACTTTGCTGAGGGCACCAGGATGTTGTCCTTGTCCTGTCTGACCCAGAGCAGAGGAAGTATTGCGTTACTGGCCTGGCCTGTTGAGGCTTTCTCGAGGAAACTCTGACGTTTCCGGGGGGCTCAAGGGAGCCAGGCAGACCCCTGGGTTTGCTGCCTGCCTTGTACTCACCTCAGCTCACCCCAGCTGCCCCGGCTTTCCCCAGCAAAGGCAGTGCACACATGCCTCCAACTGGAATCTCATAAATAATTTAATTAAGGCAGAAAGTCATGCCTGTGCCTTTGCTGGGACCAGACTCTCTGAGCACACGTCTCTGAACCTAGCCCCAGCCCCTCTCCATTCGTAAAAACAGCTCAACGACCTGCGTGCCAGGTGCTGCCAGTGTTTGTGGGCCCTGTGGGAGGGACACGGGGAAGGGCGAGGGACTGCTTACAGAAGTGTGGGGAGCTGAAGGAGAGGAGGGGAGCTGGAGAGTACGGGCAAGAAGGGGTGGAAGGGGTGGTCAGGGAAGGTGGGTAGTCGTGTCCCTACGGGTGTGTGCCAGCACACCCCCCGCAAGTCCAGCTTGAGAGCGCCACGCTTCTGTGAGCTGGTGGGTTATTATTCCCCATTTAAGGAGAAGCTTGATAGTTAATTTGGTCTGCTTTGGTGGTTTTAACTTGGAGCCTAGATTCCTCTGAGAACCTGCTGAAGGCTCAGGACTTCAGGAACTCGGCAATCTGGGTCTAGCCCTGCGTCTGGTGGCCTCTGGCTCTGGGGAGATAGTTGGTGTTGGACTGTCAGCATCATGTGGGCAGGGACTGTGTCTGCCTTGTACGTTATCACTCTTGCCCCAGGGCAGAACAGTGCCTGGCACATAGTAAGTGTTCAACAAATATTTGATGACTGAGTGGATGAATGAAATAATAAAAACTTTTCTCAGTAGATGGGGGCTTGCTGTCATTTTGTACCACTTAATTTACATAGAGCCAAATAGCTAATGTGTTCTGAAAGCTAAAGAGGAAAGAAGCTCTGATTTTCTCTGAAATCCTTGCCTTAGCCTGGCACAGCTCAGACATCTCTTAGGTGAGGCTTTGTACAGATTGTAACAGTTGAGGTAACAGCAGGAAAAGGCAGCAACTCAGATGGTTCAGATGAAAACACGTGCATGAAGGGACCCCTTTCAGAGGTGTAGGAGGGTTAAGAGGTCAAGGGAAGTTGAAGAATTAGCAACCCTGGGAAGTCTTTACCACTCATGTGCTTGAAAAGCCAAGAGGAAGAAATGGGGAAGTGGGTCCCAGTGGACTGGGAACCTTGGAGGGGCCTCCGAGCAGCTTTGACCACAAAAGCACCAAAGTAGGGAGAAATTGGAGAAGAAATACCCCAGCCTCTCTCTCTTCCAACTCAGCCACCTCTTGGCAGGGCTTTCCCTTGGCTGAACCCAGCCCAAAGCCAGAAGGCAGGGGATCCCAGAGCACAGTGCAGAGGGCAGGCTCAGTGGGGAACAACTGGCCCTTCCTGATGATTTGCTAAGTTCAGATCTTCTGGTTGTGAATGTGGACTTTGTGTATTTGTACGAGGATGGTGCAGACCTATGGGCAATCATTGAGCTAACAGCTTCACAAGGTGAAAAATAGCTGCTTTCTCCTGCAGAGTGTCTGGACTTCATTCCCCTCATTTAGTCACTCCCCGAAAGCACAGTTCGGAAACCAGCTTATGCCCTGATATGGGGACTGTTCCTTGACACAGGACAACTCTTTTGAAGATATTTTCCAGCAGTTTGATGTGAAACAGTCTATGTTCAAAAGCCTGTAGATTCTTCCTCTTCGGCAGGAGACGAGCATGGTGCACACATAAAGGGGGAGCACTGGGGAGGTCTCCGGTCTCATCCACCACCTTAGTAAGGCCTCCTTTGTGCCTGGCAGTGTGCTAAGTGCTACAGGGGACACAGAGACAAGTAGGATGCAGCCTCTGCTCTGGGGCAAGCCCTGGTCGCCCCCTGGTGAAACACAGGCTAAGCCAAGAAGGCATGATGGACAGGGGCTCTGATGTGCCAGGGGCCAACGTTTCCCTCGGCCGCTGAGCCAGCCCTTCTCCCTCCAGGAAGGACTTGACTCCTAACACTCCAGACATGGCGCCAGCTATCTAAATCAGAGGCTCATTACCTGGTGACCTCCACTGCTGGGTCCCAGAGGAAAAGGGAGCAAACGGCATCAAAGAGGCCCAGACAGATGACAGGACCCCAGTCCCGAAGCACAGGCCTGTGGGCTCCCACCTCCGAGACCATGCTGACAGACACACTTAGAAAGCAGGTTTCCTGAAGGCTGGTGAATTGGGTGTAACACAGTTGATTAGGGAAGGTGAGTTGCTGCTTAAAATAGACACAATAACCACCACGACAAAAGACAGCTGACAAAATTGATGACAAGAAAAATGACAAATTACTAGGGAATAGTTCTGAGCACAAGAAGCATAGTAGACTGTATTTAGTACATGCAGAAATACCAAAATAGCATTTCTAGTGCCTCTGTTCTGCATGGAACCCCTGAGGGCACCACTGACTTCTAGCACCTTAAATGGTCTCACCATTTTGAGCATGAAAACCCAGTGAAGACTGAATTGTGTTCACTTTGTCTTGGTTAAGAAGACAGAGAAGTGTCAGATACATTTTAGAATGATTTCTGTTGCACATGGCCCTAAAATTAAAAATGTCGGGAGCTCTGACTTTGGTGTACTGTTTTAACCATTGCGGGATAGCAAACCACCCTGACACTCAGTGGCTTAAAAAGCAATTATTTGTTCTGGAAGTTCATGTGTTTGGGTCAGCTGATCTAGCTGGGGTTTTGGTTGGCCCTTCCAGGATCACTATGGGTCTGTGGGTTGATTCAGCCTCAATATCCATTCACAGATGGAGCATAGTGGTCACACAATTTCTAGAATGTAGTGGCACAGACCCAAGGACAATATTTGTGGCAGGGCACACCTGCCACACACTTCAAATTGTGTAACTCTCACAGTACCACTGGGATAGGTGTGGCATCAACAGCTGAGGAAATGGAGGCTCAGAGAGGTTAAGTGACTTACCTAAGATCACAGAGCTGGTATACAGGAGAGCTGGAGATTTGAATCCTGCCCATTGGTAAAAGTCCAGGGCTTTCATCAGTGTAAACCAAATCTGCTTCTGACCATGGAGAAATAGTGATTTTAGCTTTTAAAGTCCTGCAGGCTACCTTCCTATCTTCTGGAAACTCCTCTCTGGATTCTTTCCTCTCCATTCCTTCCTATCTTCTCAGGATATCAGTGCCCAAAGCTCTTAGCAAAAAGTTGAAGTTTACTTTATACTAAAGTGTGCAAGACCCACCAGGATACTAGTTCATCTATCCTTTGAGGACATTTGCCTTTTAATGGGACTCTAAACAAAAAGATGTTCAAGTGAAATGAGCTTTAACTAGGGTATTGTGGGGAATTATTGTGAGGCCTTACTGGAGCTAGGGGAATACCCCTTCACATCCTCTTCACGCATCCTGAGCCAGACTGCCCTAACCCACAGTCAGAGGCAGCTTCCCCTTCCAGTACAGGATTTTCCAGGCAGGCAGAGATGCTCCAGATGATGTTTGGGTCCCAGTATCAGAGACCAGGTGATGAGAAGACCCAAATCCAGTCCTATAGAGCGAAATCATGTGGAAGGAAATGCATGTTGTCTGGGCGCTGGAATCTTCTGTTAGCTGCTGGGATATGACCCAGAGCAGGGGTTTTGTGGCCTAAAAGCCTTGATGTCCAGCCCTGTATTCCCCTGCCTGGAAGCCAGCCAGGGCGCCATGTAGGAACCAGGCATGTTCTTGGCAGTAGATTAGGGGCCATTTACTGTATCTGATGCTGATCAGCCATTGTTTAATGTTCCATAATGCACTTCTCAGCCATCTTCTCTGATTTAGCTCCTCATATTTCCTCTGGATAATACAATCAGAGAGGGTTCTTAAATTAGAGGGCTCCCCAGGGGTCCCAGCCTCCCACTTCAGCCCATCCAGCAAAGCTGAATAAAGCAGTGGACTCAGCACAGGCTTAGACACCTTGGGCAGTGGGTAGGAGAAATGGAGGCTTCCCCTTGGAGATCCAGGACCAAGCCCCATGTCACCAGTGCCACACGCAGCCTGCTCTCCTCGGATCCAGAGCACCACTGCCACCACCACAAAATACAGCCCAGTGCTAGGATGGACAGAGAGCTTCGCTCATTCCAGAAACTCACCAGATAAACTGGAGCCTCTTTTTCCTCAAGCGGTTCACACCCCATGTACTACTTGTACTGCACTCATAATTGGTACCAGTTATCCCCATACCTCTCATTTTGCCCCGGCGTTTTCACGGCTACGGTTTACCTGCTCTTCACAGTAGTCCCTGCTGTGAGGGCTCCTGGGCTTGCGTGCTGACTCTGCTGGTGAAGAGCTGTATGATCATGGGAAAGTCCACTCACTGCAGCAAGCCTCAAATTCCTCATCTGTAAAACAGGTGTAATAGTCTCTGTCTCACAGGATTGCTGTGAGGTTTTATGCACTCAGCAAATACTTAAGTAAGTGGTAACTATATGCCTGGAACTAGGCTGCAGCAGTGAGCAGACACACACAAATATCCTATCTCTGTGAAGCTGCTGTTAGCATGCTGAAAGGAGCTTGTCCAGGCTGGGCTGCTGGCCCCAGGAGGTGAATGAAAGACACCTGCAGCAAAGAGGGAGCTCACAAGCCAGCTGCCCAAGGACCAGATCCAGTCTCACTGTGAACTATGTTCAGCCTTCATGTTGTACAAAAAAAAAGAGAGAAAGGAATTTTTTAATTGCCTTAGTTGCTAACATTTAAAAATCAAGTGATTTAAAATTTAAAAAATGTATTTCTGATGTCTCCATAAAACAAAAACTTCTAGGAAACCAGGATAACCTGGCAGTCTTAACCCACATTCTGATATGGTGATGACTGGGTGGGGTGCAGCCATTGGTGGTCACTCAGCCCAGCTCCCCAGGCGCTCCCTGCAAATACCCTCCTTTCTTATCCCCCACCTACCTTCCTTATTACATCCACCTCTAACTGCATCTGGGCATGTGACTTTTTGGCCTCTGGGACCAGAAGCTCTGCTGGCTTAGACTCTACCCCTTCTTTCTGTACAAGTCTTGATGGATTTTACAGAATTCCCGGGCTCTGCGGAGCTCAGCTGGAAGTCAGTGTTCTAGATCGGTGGTTCTCAAACTACAGTACTTGTTCTCAGCCCTGGTTGGACAGAAGACCACTGGGATGCTTTACAGAAGCCCAGTGCCGAGACTGAACAGACCACTTACAACAGAATTTCTGGAGCACAGAATGGGGAACCAATGTTTAAAGTTCTCCAAGTGATCTAATGTCTAGCCAGGGTTAACTCCTGAAAAATAACCAGAGGGCTTGTTAAAACAGACGTCTGGGCCCCAATCCTGGAATTTCTGACTCAGTAGACCTGGGGTGGGCCCAGGAGTTTGTATTTCTGATAAGATCCCAGGAGCTGCTGGTCCATGGACCACACTTTGAGAACCACTGCTCAAGTCTGCCTCTGAGTATACTGGATGAGGCGCCTATCACCCCACAGCAAATCACTACAAATAGAGCGCCTTGGAATGACACACACTTATTCTCTTACAGCTCTGGAGGGCAGAAGTCTGAAATCAGTTTCCCCTGGCAGAAATCAAGGTGTTGGCAAGGCCACACTCCTCCCAGAAGCTCCCTGGAGGAGTCGGTTTCCTTGTCTTCTCGAGCTTAGAGCTACATTCCTGGCGTTCTTTGGTTCCTCGCCTCTTTCTCCATCTTCAAAACCAATAGGGCAGCCTCTTGCTTCAGTGGCCACATTGTCTTCTGAGTCAATCTTCATCTTCCTTTCTTCTTGGGGCTTCAGTGATGGCACTTAGGGCCCACCTAGGTAGCTCCTTATTTAATCACATATGCTAAGTTCCTTTTGCCACTTAAGATGACATTTACAGGTTCCAGGAATTAGGGTGTGGGCCTCTTTGGGGCTGTTAGGCAGCCTACCATAGTCACCTTTCTCACTGGGTAAAGTCCACAGATGCTTTCTTTAAGTGACAGAATCAAAGACACAGGCATTTATACCATCTCCATTTGTGTTTCTTCCCAGAGCGGATCCCAAGACATGGACTTGGGCACGGAAGGTTTCTGGGGGAGGTGACCCCAGTGGGGCAGTAGGGAAGTGAGCAGGAAGGGAAGGCAGTCAGTCTGGGGGAATATTATGAGTGGATTGCTGTGGGCAGCCAGGGCTCGGCTCTGCTGGGGACCTCAGGAGACAGGGGACTGGGATATTCATCCAAGCAGCTCCCGTGGCTGGAGAAGGCCTCTGCACGGTCACAGATGCTTCTGGTAGGAAGCCCACAGGGCCTGATGTTTACTGCGGCCTACGGGCAGGGAAGGACAGCTTCTGCCGTAGCTACTTTAAGAGACCTACACTAACACAGCTACCTTACACTGAGCACTTTGTAGTCACTAAACTCTTTATATATATGACTTCTAATTAGTCCTATAGAGCGAAATCATGTGGAAGGAAATGCATGTTGTCTGGGCGCTGGAATCTTCTGTTAGCTGCTGGGATATGACCCAGAGCAGGGGTTTTGTGGCCTAAAAGCCTTGATGTCCAGCCCTGTATTCCCCTGCCTGGAAGCCAGCCAGGGCGCCATGTAGGAACCAGGCATGTTCTTGGCAGTAGATTAGGGGCCATTTACTGTATCTGATGCTGATCAGCCATTGTTTAATGTTCCATAATGCACTTCTCAGCCATCTTCTCTGATTTAGCTCCTCATATTTCCTCTGGATAATACAATCAGAGAGGGTTCTTAAATTAGAGGGCTCCCCAGGGGTCCCAGCCTCCCACTTCAGCCCATCCAGCAAAGCTGAATAAAGCAGTGGACTCAGCACAGGCTTAGACACCTTGGGCAGTGGGTAGGAGAAATGGAGGCTTCCCCTTGGAGATCCAGGACCAAGCCCCATGTCACCAGTGCCACACGCAGCCTGCTCTCCTCGGATCCAGAGCACCACTGCCACCACCACAAAATACAGCCCAGTGCTAGGATGGACAGAGAGCTTCGCTCATTCCAGAAACTCACCAGATAAACTGGAGCCTCTTTTTCCTCAAGCGGTTCACACCCCATGTACTACTTGTACTGCACTCATAATTGGTACCAGTTATCCCCATACCTCTCATTTTGCCCCGGCGTTTTCACGGCTACGGTTTACCTGCTCTTCACAGTAGTCCCTGCTGTGAGGGCTCCTGGGCTTGCGTGCTGACTCTGCTGGTGAAGAGCTGTATGATCATGGGAAAGTCCACTCACTGCAGCAAGCCTCAAATTCCTCATCTGTAAAACAGGTGTAATAGTCTCTGTCTCACAGGATTGCTGTGAGGTTTTATGCACTCAGCAAATACTTAAGTAAGTGGTAACTATATGCCTGGAACTAGGCTGCAGCAGTGAGCAGACACACACAAATATCCTATCTCTGTGAAGCTGCTGTTAGCATGCTGAAAGGAGCTTGTCCAGGCTGGGCTGCTGGCCCCAGGAGGTGAATGAAAGACACCTGCAGCAAAGAGGGAGCTCACAAGCCAGCTGCCCAAGGACCAGATCCAGTCTCACTGTGAACTATGTTCAGCCTTCATGTTGTACAAAAAAAAAGAGAGAAAGGAATTTTTTAATTGCCTTAGTTGCTAACATTTAAAAATCAAGTGATTTAAAATTTAAAAAATGTATTTCTGATGTCTCCATAAAACAAAAACTTCTAGGAAACCAGGATAACCTGGCAGTCTTAACCCACATTCTGATATGGTGATGACTGGGTGGGGTGCAGCCATTGGTGGTCACTCAGCCCAGCTCCCCAGGCGCTCCCTGCAAATACCCTCCTTTCTTATCCCCCACCTACCTTCCTTATTACATCCACCTCTAACTGCATCTGGGCATGTGACTTTTTGGCCTCTGGGACCAGAAGCTCTGCTGGCTTAGACTCTACCCCTTCTTTCTGTACAAGTCTTGATGGATTTTACAGAATTCCCGGGCTCTGCGGAGCTCAGCTGGAAGTCAGTGTTCTAGATCGGTGGTTCTCAAACTACAGTACTTGTTCTCAGCCCTGGTTGGACAGAAGACCACTGGGATGCTTTACAGAAGCCCAGTGCCGAGACTGAACAGACCACTTACAACAGAATTTCTGGAGCACAGAATGGGGAACCAATGTTTAAAGTTCTCCAAGTGATCTAATGTCTAGCCAGGGTTAACTCCTGAAAAATAACCAGAGGGCTTGTTAAAACAGACGTCTGGGCCCCAATCCTGGAATTTCTGACTCAGTAGACCTGGGGTGGGCCCAGGAGTTTGTATTTCTGATAAGATCCCAGGAGCTGCTGGTCCATGGACCACACTTTGAGAACCACTGCTCAAGTCTGCCTCTGAGTATACTGGATGAGGCGCCTATCACCCCACAGCAAATCACTACAAATAGAGCGCCTTGGAATGACACACACTTATTCTCTTACAGCTCTGGAGGGCAGAAGTCTGAAATCAGTTTCCCCTGGCAGAAATCAAGGTGTTGGCAAGGCCACACTCCTCCCAGAAGCTCCCTGGAGGAGTCGGTTTCCTTGTCTTCTCGAGCTTAGAGCTACATTCCTGGCGTTCTTTGGTTCCTCGCCTCTTTCTCCATCTTCAAAACCAATAGGGCAGCCTCTTGCTTCAGTGGCCACATTGTCTTCTGAGTCAATCTTCATCTTCCTTTCTTCTTGGGGCTTCAGTGATGGCACTTAGGGCCCACCTAGGTAGCTCCTTATTTAATCACATATGCTAAGTTCCTTTTGCCACTTAAGATGACATTTACAGGTTCCAGGAATTAGGGTGTGGGCCTCTTTGGGGCTGTTAGGCAGCCTACCATAGTCACCTTTCTCACTGGGTAAAGTCCACAGATGCTTTCTTTAAGTGACAGAATCAAAGACACAGGCATTTATACCATCTCCATTTGTGTTTCTTCCCAGAGCGGATCCCAAGACATGGACTTGGGCACGGAAGGTTTCTGGGGGAGGTGACCCCAGTGGGGCAGTAGGGAAGTGAGCAGGAAGGGAAGGCAGTCAGTCTGGGGGAATATTATGAGTGGATTGCTGTGGGCAGCCAGGGCTCGGCTCTGCTGGGGACCTCAGGAGACAGGGGACTGGGATATTCATCCAAGCAGCTCCCGTGGCTGGAGAAGGCCTCTGCACGGTCACAGATGCTTCTGGTAGGAAGCCCACAGGGCCTGATGTTTACTGCGGCCTACGGGCAGGGAAGGACAGCTTCTGCCGTAGCTACTTTAAGAGACCTACACTAACACAGCTACCTTACACTGAGCACTTTGTAGTCACTAAACTCTTTATATATATGACTTCTAATCTTCCCAACAATTTCACAAGCCATTGGTACTGAAGATGAAGCTAACATTCAGGGAGGTGCAGTCACTTGCCTGAGGTCACACAGTGTCAAGGCCAAAATGCCAAATCAGGACTTTCTGACCCTCAAATCATTGCGGAGGCCGAGTACCTAGTGGTTAGGGGCGGTGCTTCTGGTGCCATACTGCAAGGGGCCAGATCGTGTGTTTCCTTTCGCTTTGTGACGCTGAGCTGGCAAACCGCCCACTCTGTACCTCAGGGTCCCCACGCAGAAAAAGGAGCACAAAGTAGGGTAGAACTCACAGAGAAGCTGTGACAATCAAGCAGGCTAATTACAAACATAAAGTACTTACAATGGTGTCTGGTGTGTAATGTGTGAGATGTATAAGCCTTTTCTGTAATTTCCAGAATCTCACAGCATCCCTATGCATGCCAAGAGGTCATGATTTCCTGTAAGATGCATTTGTGTTAAAAGGCAAATACGACTCAAACAATAACTTTTGGCTTAAAGTATCCAGTAACTTAAGGCAAAAAGAGAGGGAGAGCTTTTCTCTGTTTTACATTTGTAAACACGTCCCTAAAGCAGGGACACGTTGATCAGGGAAGGAGGCTGTTCTCCTGGGAAGACTGGCTTTCCCAGATGTCTGTAAAAATACCTGGCCCTATTCCATCTCCCAGCCTACAGCGTGCAGCTCCATTCAAGCCTGCACTTACGTCTCCACAGCAACCAGCATAAGCACAAGCTGGAGGTATGTTTTGGGAGCTGGCGACAGCTGAAAGGAGGCCTCATGGCTGCTAAGGGCTTTGCACCGCAAGCCAGCTGGGGTCTGAAAAAAGAAGAAAGGAAAGGAGACATGAATGGGAGTTGACAGGCTCTCCCCCGCAGGCCTGCCCACTCCTCCCCCCACTTACCCTGAGGCCACTACCTGGCTCTCTTGGTACCTTCCTGGGACGGCTGGAGAAAGCCCACGGCTTTTCTGCGGCAGCTAGTGCTTCTCTCTTGTGTATAGGAAAAACGAAAAACAAAGTCAAAAGGCCAAAACAAGTTCGGAAAAATATTTGCAAGTCATATAATAAAGTTCTACTTTTCTTATAAATAGGAAAAATTTACAAGAGGAAACTAACAACCTAATAGAAAGATGGAAAGGTAAAAGGCTCTAAAACTCCTGAAATTGGCCCCAGCCTCATTCACCACTAGAAAAATGCAAACTGAAACCACACTCAGATACCATTTTTTACCTATCATATGCAAAATGCAGAAGATCTGATGTCATACATGCTGGCAAGGGTGGGTAGGAACATTCACTGTCATCCTCTGCCTGTGGGAGGGAATGTGGATTGATGAGGCTTTGTGGAGACGAATTAGGCAACATGTGTCATTATTAGACATGCACACATCCTTTGATCCAGCAATTCTAGTCTAGGAATTCATCAAGTGGACACTCTTACCAGCATACAAGAATGCATGTTATTTTATTGTATGCTGGTTATTGTATGAAGGTTATTATTCAATTACTGTTTACATGAGCAGATGTCTGCAAATTTGCCCAAATGCATCTCAGTAGGGGGTGGGGTGAACAGATTATGGTTCTTCCAAATGAAAGAATATTATGCAGCCATAGAAAGGAATGTGGATGCATTTTATGTAGTTTCATAGAATAATGTCTTAAGAATACTGTGGAGAAATTCAGGAGTGTCATATATACGGTTATACACCCAAGCAATCCTTTGAGAAAGAGAGGGAAGGTATTATACTGACCTATTTGCTCATATATACATAAAATATTCCTGGAAGTATATGTAGAAAACTAAATAAACAGTAATAAATATTTGGACCTGGGACGGGATGGGAGTTTTCAGGTATACTCATTTGTACTTTTGGAATTTTGAATCACATGACTGTATTACCAATTCTAAACAATTAAACAAAATTTTATATATGCCTACAAAACACAGCCTCTCATCTGGAGCACAGGATGGGCTTTTTCTGTCTTTAAAAGTCTGCTAGACCCAAAGCAGCCATGTGAACTGAGACCTCAGAGAATTTCCAGAATGGTGGAGTCACATAACTATAGTGCTGCAGAAAACTGAAGTCGTCTTGCCAACTTGTTCAGTTGAGAAGCTCTGTTACTACATTGAGTCCAAAGGGATCAATTCCAGTAAGTCTTCCACTTACTGGAATCCATGGATTTGAGTGACTAATGGGTGTAAATTTCTGACTGTGCCAGCGAGCAGCCTGCTTCCCTCATCCCCATCTGCTGTGGACCCTCGGACAACCAGTGGAGGCCGCCGGGCCAGGGGTGGGGGGCTCTAGGGAAAGGGTTAAGTGAGCTGTGTAGTTTTGAATCACAAGTTTCCATAGAGCTAGAATGTCACCATGGAAAAATGAAGGCATGGAAACAAGCAGCTAGAAACCCAGGGCCTTTCCACTCAGCCCCAGTAGCCAGCAGGTGTTGGAAACACCCGACCCTTTGGGCCGATGCAGCTGGGGAGTTTGTCTCTGACTTAGAGCCAGATCTCCTGAACAACTCTACAAACTTGACCTCCCCTGTCAAGTTGTAGCAGCAGATTTAGTAGCACTCACTGATTTATGCTGGCCGCTGTAATCAGATTCACAGCGGAGGCACAGCCAGCCTTGGGGAAGTTTCTTGACGTTCCCTTGGCTCCTAATAACATTGTCTCCTTCTTCCTCTCCATTTACCATATGCCATTTTGTCAAATTAGAACTTGAACTCAAAAAAGCAGATGCCTTCCTTTAGATAAGGGTGAAAAATTCCCTTGCAGGAGGAAACGGAGATGTGTTTGTCTCCTTGAATCCTTGCACAATGAAAGGGTCGCTGACTTAGTATAGGACAATGACAAAGAGGAGGGGGCTTCCTTTCATGTAGCTAGGACACACTTTTCCTGGGGGGGGGAGGGCTTCTGGTGGGGGAGGGGCAGAGAGAACACCCCTCTCAGGTCATCTGTGGGGCTCAGTTCCCTGCTCACGGCCTCACAGTGAGTGGCTGCAGGCTCCTCCTGGCAATGCTGCCCTGACTGTGTGCAGCTCTGGAGCCCCCAGATATTTACCAAAAAGAGTGTTGGACCAAGCCACCCCTAATCCAATTGTGAAATTACCTTCTGGTTCTCTGTTGCCTACTTTTAAAAAGTTCTATTTTTATTCTTTTTTATATGAACAATTTCAAACATTCAAAAAAGTGGAAAGAATTTTCCAGGGAACACGAATATGCCCACTGTTACGGGCTGGCTTGTGTACCCTCCAAATTCATATGGTGCAGCCCTGATGCCCAGTACCTCAGAATGGGACTCTGTTTAAAGATGGAGCCTTTGAAGAAGTGATTAAGTGAGGCCATCTGGGTGGGCCCTGATCTGATATGACTTGTGTCCTTATAAGAAGAGAAGTTGTGGACACACAGAGACACACAACGATGTGCTCAAACAGACGAAAGGCCATGTGAGGACATAGCCAGAGGTGGCCATCTGCAAGCCCAGGGCACAGGCCTCAGGAGAGAGGCCTGTCCCTCTCCTGATTTACCACCTTGATCTTGGGATTCTAGCTTCCAGAACTGTGAAAAATGAAGTTCTGTTGTTTAAGTCACGCAGCTACTTTGGTGCGGCAGCAGTAGCAAAGAAATAGACCCACCACATAGATTCTGCAACCGTTATCATTTTGCTATGTTTATCTAGCATATAGCTGTTTAGCCACCCATCTTATTTTTTGAAGGATTTCAAAATGAGCTGTAGATCCACTGACCACTTTGAAGAGATGGTAAGTGCACTGTGGATTGAAGGCCACTAGGACACACAATTGAACCCCCCCTGTGGTTGCGATAGTCAGGGAGCAACTAGGATGGTCTACTCGTGTGAGTTTACAGACCAGGAAACGGGCCCAAAGGTGAGTCATGGTCAGGTTTGATTAGAAAGGCATGGAAGTGGGCATTGGTAAACTTCAAATCCAGCTGACTGAAGCAGCACCTGCCATGTTTTCTGAGGTTCCCTGCTCCTCTCTGGCTGGTGGTAGGGGACAGTGGGCACCACATGGCGGTGGTAACCAAATCTCCAGAAATCTCCTGGGTGAGACATCTGGATTCAGTCCTGGCCTACACCTGCTGGCTGTGTGTGACCTTAGGCACCTCTCTAACCCTCTGAGGCTTGTCTGACAGGACTGTAACACTAATACAGCCTGGTGGGGCTGTTGGGGCAGTCAGAGAAGGGTATTGAATGCTTGGGCCATGTTTCCCTGTGGGTACCTCAACACTGGGCTATTAGCTCTCTCCATTAGAGAGCAATGGCTCTGCCCTCACCACTCTCTACTGTACCAAAAAAGCCCCAGCATCTTAGCAACTGAAACTAACCAAGCTTTATTGTTGCCTCACCTAGCAGTCTGGTGCGCCTGGCTGGGGGTAGCTTGGCCCCACGCTGGCATTTGGGCTCTAGGTCCTTCCCCTGTGGCTCCACAGTCCCCAGGGCTGGAGTCCCCGGCTTCCAGGCCGGACCACTGATAAGAACAGCCCCATGTCCCCTGCCGGGCTGGCTTCTCAGGGGCAGCTCCGCCTGTGGAGGGAGTACTAACCTTCTCTGCACAGCCCGGACCCTGAGAGGTCTTTGCTCCGAAGTCAGCGCCCAGGAGTTAGGAGCAGAGAGCGTCTACCCGCCAGGAGAGGGCCAGGTCTGAGGGCCGACCCCCGGCTGCGCAGGGCTGCAGGACAGCAGGGGCGTGGCCGGCGGGAGCTGCCCCCGGGGGCTGTGGGCCCGGCCTCCAGGAAGGCATCTTCCCGCAGCACCGCGGGCAGGCTCCTTTTGAACTCTGACCCCAGTTCCGGACTAGCAGTGGGCCTGGCCTGAGCGACCTGGCTTCCCCGAGAGCCCTTTCCCCTCTGGAAAGCGAGGGCGTTTGTCCTCTGAGGAGCAAACAGGTTTGCGGGGAGCGCAGGTCCTGAGCCGCCCCCGCTTCATGGGGAAGCTTCGCTGAACGAGTGTCAGCGGCGGCGACACTGCCCTCTCCTGCCGCCGCAGAGCCACGGGCCCCCTCGCCTGGGAGCCCTTCCTGGCGCGGTTCCAGGGAGCCTGTGAAGTCAGTCCCGGGCGGCGACGCGACGAAAACGCTGCTCTCCGGAGGCCACACCAGGGGCTTACTCATCTCCGTGTCTGGGTGGGGTGGCATAGCACGGGCTGGGCACAGGTAAGTTTTCAATAAATGTCTGTGGGCTGAATAGACTCTGTTGTAGGGCTCTCCTGAATAAAAAGAAAATAGCATTAGGTTTGGAAGTAGTGTTAGGAAAAAATTATTCTGACACTGTTGAAATAGTAAGAAAGACTTTGTTCAAGACTACTGACTAGGTGGCAAGATGATCTCAAAAGGGGAAAGAGACTGAGCTTAATTCCAAATGCACCAGGAGCAAGTGAGGATTTACAGCCAAAAGTGGGTTGGCGGTTGAGGGTGGACGATTACTAAGAGGACACAACAAGGGCAGGGCGATTCCTGCTGAACCCACTTGGTAGGATTCTTGCTGAAGGCAGGCCAGAGTGAGAAGGTATCAAGGACAGGGAGTGGGGCATGAGGAATCTGATCAGGTATGTGGCTGATGAGATACCAAGGGCAGGCATTCTCTCTAAACTGATTTAGCAGGATTCTTCCTAAAACTGAGTTCTGCAAGATGCACACGGAAAGCCAAGCTTGGAGGCCTTGTTGAAAGCTTAACTAAAGTTTGGTCAAAGAGAAACTATTTGTCAGTGGGAAGATAGAGCCCATGTCCTCCCTATTTCTCCACACACCCAGGTTTGGGCATAGCACAGCAGGCCGGTGGTGCCCTGGGGGCTGTGGGGTCCCTGGACTCTGCCCCCAAACATGCAGGTGTCTTTGCCTCACACTGGGAACTCTGGGTCTTTGGAGAGAAGCCTGAGTATCCAGGCCTCATGGTCTCTGCACAGTGGACGTGGGAGACACAGTGGGGAAAGATGCAAAGCAGACTCTGCTCTGGTCCTGACAGGCAGGGAGCAGTCCTGCATGTGGCAGCAATGGGGACGGGAGCTTCGTCCTGGACCAGTGCCTGGGGAGGCGGCCTTCCAGAAGTGGTCTTCTGGCCTGGTTAATAAATCCCAGAGCTGCAATTAAGACAAAATAAATACTCTGACTATGACACCTGCTGACAGCTGCGGGAGGCCCCAGAAACTTTTATTATGAATTAGACTTTGCAGGCCCCTCTGCTATGGTGAGTGGGTGCCCAGGCCGAGGAACCTGAGGGAGCTCAGGAGGCTGGCTGCCTCGAGGGCAAGGACAGCTCACCAGTGGAGAGGGGGAGAGAGTGACTCTCCATACCTGTCTAGGGCCCATATAAAGGACCATTTATGTCTCAGACAGAAGCCAGAACTGGAAATGGCTGACTCAGACAGAAGCCAAAACTGGAAGGGGCTGAGATCTCATCTGATCCAGTGCTCCCATTTTACATTTGGGAAAACCAAGGTCCAGTGGGGAAGTGAATTCTCCAAGGTCACATAGGGAGTTACTGGCCACATCGGGGCTGAAGACCAGAATTCCTAATCCCAGGCTGGCATGCTTGACTGACGGTCAGTTAGCAGTAGCCAAGCACACATCCGGGTACTTGACTTAAGGAAATCCGACTGTTACTTCTTCGAGACAGAGAATGAGACAAAGTTAGAGACAGGAAGACAGGGAGACAGATAATGAGACTGAAACAGAAGAGAATCAGAGAGAGAGACAGAAGCAGACAGCCATGAGCCTGAGTCACTAAATTCAAAGTAGAGATTCGAGTCCTCCAGTGTTAGCCAGGACCTCCTCCATCCTCCACCACCTAGTCTGGTCGGCTTTGTTCTCACAGGAAATAAACAAAGCACAGCTGAATGGTTCAGGTGTGTAAAGCTTTTTAGGGAAACTTTGGTGCCGAATGGTAAAGCTTGATTGGTACTGAAAAGTGGCAAAACTTCTGTCTCCAAGGGTTTTGAAGTGAGGTTTGAAAAATGAAGAGCTGCAGGAATATGACCCAGCACAGGGCAATTTTGGAAAATGGCATACAGATGACATTGCAACTGCCTGGGATTCAGGATAGAGCACTCCATGCCCTCCAGCCTGCCTTTTCTGACAGCTCAGACTCTGTGTCTCTCAGAACAGAGGGAGCGCTCCAGAGACAGAGCAGAGCCTGACCCATTCACCCCTCGCTCGTCCTGTCTTGGTAGCAGCAAATCTTCTCTTCTTTCAAAACTCAGCTCAAATGCCATCTCCCCCAGAAAGCTTTCCCGGATTTCTCATTTGTATCCCTTGTTCCCCAACTTTTACCCATTTCTTCTTTAAGTCCTTCTAGACACTCCAGCCCCATGTTAGCCAATTCTTTTTCCATCTTGTACAATAGTTATCTATGAAGATGTCAGTGAAAGGGCCCCTATTCTGTGCCAGGAACTCCAAAAGCCCTAGCTCTAATCCTTACAACAAACTAGCAAGGTGGGTATTTACAGAATTCACAGGTAAGACTTTACAGATAGGAAAGCCAAGACTCAAAGAGAGTGAGTGATTTCCTCAAGGCTTTACAGCTAGTAAGAGGCAAAGTCAGGACTCCCGCCCAAGTTTGCCTGACTCCAGGGCCCATACTCTCTCCACAACACTGAGCAGTGTACTCGAGGGCAGGAACTGGACAGGGTCTAGTCACGGTGCCTGGCACACATTTGGTACTCAGTGTGTGCCTCTGAATGAATCAAACAGTAAATGAATGAATACAGGAAGTATCCTTTCTTTTTTTTTTTTTTTTTACATGGTGAACAGTACAAGGGCAGTCATCACAGAAACTTTCAGTTTTGATTACATATTATGAACTATAAACAATCAGGTCAAATATGAATATTCGTTTGATTTTTATACTTGATTTATATGTGAATCCCACATTTCTTTATTATTATTATTATTATTATTATTATTATTATTATTATTATTATTTTTAATAAAATGCTGAAGTGGTAGGTAGATGCAAGATAAAGGTAGAAAACATAGTTTAGTGCTGTAAGAGGGCAAATGTAGATGATCAGGTGTGTGCCTATAGACTAAGTATTAATCCAAGCTAGACAAGGGCAACAAAACATCCACGAATGCAGAAGATTTCTCTCAAAACAGGGGGGGTGAGGTTCTAAGCCTCACCTCTGTTGATCCCCAATTTCTCATCTGATGGCCCCCCTGCGACTGTGCCTGTCTTAGGTTGTTCCTCCCTTGAGGAATCTTACCCGTCTCTGGCTAACCAGTCATCTTCCGGGAAAAGTATCCTTGCTTTTGAAGGCCAAATCTAGCTTGTCTCCCATTTTTGTAAATAAAGATTTATTGGAACATAGCCACACTTATTCCTTTATGTATCGTCTGTGGCAGTTTTCATGTATAACAGCAGTTACATTGCAACAAAGACCATGTGGCCCACAGAGCTGAAAATATCTACTAAGTGGCCTTTTCCAGAAAGAGTTTTCTGACTTCTGCTATAGCTTACAGTTTTTACTAAGTGGTTAAGGCAACAGTACTTATTGCTAAGTACTAATGATCTTGTCTTTTATGACCTAGAATATTGTATGCGTGCATGTTTGTACACTGGGCATGCCTAAAAAGTATCAGATTTCTTTATGTATCTGGTATAAACCACTTTATTATTTTACAGGCAGGTTTCATCTAGAAACGTTTGCCCATGGCTATATATATGTGTATATAAATAAAATGAGAAAGTACATTTTTTTTTTAAATTGAGTTTGGCTGTGTCGGCAGCACCTTGACACACACAGGGTGAGAGCCAAGCCCCTGGCCCCAGAGGTGTTGCCTGCAGCAGAGGGGAGGCCCAGAGGTGGGGCAGGCTTCCGCAGGACAGTGGAGGGGGTGGACCTAGAGGCTTGCCCGAGCAGTATTGACATGGCAGTTTTTGAGCTGAATGGAAGTCAGCCTGTTTGACGGAATGCACACCATGTCCGCTCAGCTCACTGGGGCTCATCCCTCATGGGCTTACTGCCCCTGAGGCGGCAGCCACCAAGCCACCAGACCGTTTTCTGTATAGGCTGTGTCCTCACTTATCCCCCCTGCCCGCTTGGGAGTCAGTGTTCTGGGCTCCCAACCACACCTCGTCCCTGGGGCCAGGACACCCTTCCTCTCCCAAGCTGCCCCTAGGGCAGCCTCCTGCTTGCCTACTCCTGCTCGCAGGAGCTCAGAAGTGTCCTCTGGACCCCGGGCATCTAATAGAAGCAACAGGAAAGCAGGGATTTCTCGACACCACCCTGAATGCCCAGCAGGCCAGGCACTGGAGCGCTTGGAGGCATGGCACATCTCATCCTGTGTCCAGGTGGTGCTCCCTGGCCAGTGAATCCGGGGCCTTGCCGACAGTGACGTGCCCATCACTCAGCCTCGCTATTCTGCTCGCCACTTCAGGACTGCTCTGTTACTCAGCTCACTGCATGGGTGAGGTGTGAGCATGTGTGTGTGCACGTTTGCATGTGTGTGTTCATTGTTTTGGAAAAAGGACTTGTTCAGGGAGCTTTCGGCAGCCTTTAAATCTTGAGCTTCTCAGTTAGTGATGGGAGTGCTGTGGACAGGGACTTGATGCACATGCTCACATGTGTCTGTGTGTTTGTGTGCGCCTCTCTTGTGATCTTGATTTCGAGGTAGCAGACTGGCAGCTGCTGCTCCCTTGCTTTGAAGTAACATCATGTGCTGTGGCCTGGGGCCAGCCCCGGCACTGGGTGGCCGGACACTTCCCATCACTCTCCAGGCTCACTGGCATGGTCATGGGCTCACTGCCCCCGAGGCAGCAGACCATTTTCTGTATAGGCTGTGTCCTCACCTATCCCCCCTGCACACTTGGGAGCAAGCTACCAGAAGGCAGACTCCTAACCTGGTCTCTCAGAGAAATTCACATACCTTCCACTTTTAGGATCAGAATTTCCTTTTTAAACATAAGTGCAGGGGGCCAAAGAAAAGTTGTAGGGTACAGTCCTCTCTGGAA